TTCCTGACACCCTCATGGATGACACATTGCTTAACATGGCAATGCATTCCCTAATGATCAAATCAGACACCCATTTGGTATTATCTTATGCTTTCTTATTTAACTAGTAATGATAAATGGCATAGTTAATTAAAAAAAAATCCTTCATGCCTAAGGAAAGCTCTAGCTAACCTATGCTCAGACATCACTCCAACAAACCTCGACAGAACCAACTTGAAAGGAAGAAAAAGCCACACTGATTAGCCGAGAGATCTTGGATAAGTACTTTGGACAGTTCCTTTATCTGGTTGAAACAGGAAAAATGACTTAGGTCAGAGAGTTGATACAGAAATAAAAAAGAGGATGGTAGGCTGGATAATGGCCCCATCCCGGTCCTCAGAACCTAATTATGTCACCTTACATGGCAAACCAAGAACTTGGCAGATGTGATTAAATTAAGAACCCTGAGGTGGATAGACTAACTTGGATTATCCTTATGAGAAGAAAGCAGTAGTGCTAGAGGCAGATAGAGACAAGAAAGTACATGGAGAATAATAGGGGAGAGAGTCTGAGAGGAGAGGGGGAGAGGGAGAAGGAGGTGGAGAGACTGGAAGGTTCTATGCTGCTGAATTTGAAAATGGAGGGAGGGGCTAGGAGTCATGGGATTCACTCAGACTCTAGAAACTTGAAATCAAGGAAAAGGATTCTCCCTTGAAGCCTCTCGAAAGAGCCAGCCCTGACAATACTTTGACATTAGCTCATGAGACTGATTTTGGACTTCTAACCTCCAGAATCGCGGGATAATAAATTTGTTCTTTTTTAAGCCATTATATTTATGATAATTTGTTATAGCAGAGCTAGGAAATGGATACGGTATATGTAAAAACACTTAACAGACTACAAGGCACAGTATGAGGACTCAGAAAAAAATTAGTTCCTTCTTTTCTCCCTTCCCTCATGAAAAAGCAATCTAGCAGCCCAAATCTAAGACAGCTTCAAAGGGCACCTGGGTGGTGCAGTTCGGTAAGCGTCCGACTTCGGCTCAGGTCACGATCTCATAATTCTGGGTTCGAGCCCCGTGTCAGGCTCTGTGCTGACAGCTCAGAGCCTAGAGCCTGCTGCAGATTCTGTGTCTCCCTCTCTCTCTGCCCCTCTCCCACTAGCACTCTGTCTCTCCTTCTCAAAAAACAAATGTTAAAAAAACCCTTAAAACAGCTTCAACAACACTTTTCCTGGCATCCTAAATGACTTATGCAATACGTTCAGCAATGCCCTAAGAGGACCTGCTATGACATTACGATAAAGATGGGTACGTTCATTATTCAACCACGAACACAAAAGGACCAGTTAGTCATTCCACTGAAGTCTGCAGAGAAGAAAAACAACTTTGCCCCCAAGGAGAGCCAGAAAGCCTACTGCTTCACTAAACCCCCACCTGGGGTACAGATCCAGGTTCAACAGGGGTCCATGCCTTGCGTGACTATTACTTTTGACTGGAATGCCTAATTCTGTCATATTCAGTCCATAGCATGGTCCCAGATGAAGGGAGACCCTGTAAAAATGCTTTGAATTACACTACTTTAAAACAAAGACAGCCTATAAATTGGAGAGGGTTTATTTTCTTTCCATGACAAAAGCAAATCCACTTTTTACTACTCCAGAGGCAAAATTTATTTCCACTGCCTATGCGGTTGGGAGAGAAATTCTTGTTTTGCTCTGAATCCAGCTCCCATCAATTCCTGAGAGTCTCTTACATACTCCAGGGAAAAACGCCCTCTGTTTTCTCAGGTTTGATAAAGAACCTTCTATTGCACTGACAGCGTGCTCAAGAAACGGCCGAGGCTTTTCCTGTAGGATGTGAGACTTAAGAAAAAAGTCAAAAGGCCTAAAGGTGGCCTTGGTGCTAATGCAACGTGTTACATTTCCCACCTAGTGAAAAAAAAATCATAATTTTCAGTGTTTACATATGAGAGCACTTTTGGGGCAAGAATATAACTCTGAGAAAAATCTCTGCTAACATTTTTCATTCCCTCCTCTCCCCCAATCTCATAGCACAAATAGTCACTTTATTCAAACATAGTTTTTAGTCTCTAAAAATTCATCTCATTTGCATCTAGGAAAAATATCACAACATTTGAAGAAAGAAAGTAAAGAGCTGAGCAATGCTGAAAAGGTTTCAGAATTCCTAGACACCTCCCAATGGCAACAGCTATCACAGCCCCCAGCAGGTTGCATGAGTGAGGCTTGCTGGGCTCGCCTGACATCGGCCTTCGACTCCAAGGACCGAGGTCAGTGGTGGGCGATGCAGTGAAACAGGGTTAGTAACTATCCAAGATGGCGGCCGCTCAGCCTCTGGGAGCCTCAACTCCCTCTGAGGCAACTGCCAATATAGAATATTAAAATGGGTGGCATTTTATTTTATCCTAATAGGTGCTGGAACAAACTCTTTTGCTCAGCATACACCCTTGTCCTTGAATGAAGCACTCTGAAGAGCACCGCTGTTTGCCATAGTGACTGTGGATGAAGCAAAGATAATTTGTGGTAAAGGGCGGGCAGGAAGGGACACGTGGCACCCTCAGACCATAATTCGGTCTCTGGCTCTACCAGGGCTGCCTCCGGGAATCATCCTCTATAGGAAGGGCATACAGATGGCTATTGGCTAATGTTTTTGTATTTCCTTATATCTAGTAGATCATGTCTTACTGATTTTATTAACTAAAAGAAGAATTCTCTTCCCACTTAATTGCATGCCAGACTGAAAAAAGTATAAGCATTCATTCTAATTCTAGAAACATATTTTTCCAAAGCCCTAACAAGAAAAGTACTGCATTCTGGGCATCAGACCCTGGGAGCCGACTCCCAACATCAATAGCAAAACACACTGTGGTACCAAATTATGTTTTATTAGACATCTTTAGTACAAGGTCTTTTTCTTCTTTCAAAGTGTCTCTCTTCCCTAAAAGGTTCCTTTTTAAAAAACTAGGAAATGCCCTTATAATACCTTATAGTGCCTCTCTTGATGGTCCCATAAAGCCTCTAGCACTCAGGATGCCATAGCTCTAACTCTGAGCTACCTAAGGTCAAAATGTGGCCATTGGACTACACAGAGGCCACATATCACTGGGCCAGGAGTGACACCTGTTTCTGGGGGCTCAGGGACTCTTCAGAGAAGTATGTAGTGCAGATGAGGTCAGTACCTGACTTATTGCTTTTGTCAAAGCTGGTACTATAAATATTAGGTTATATAATCTGTCTACTTGGAATTTCAGTTCCCTCAGCATCATGAGATTTTGAAGTAGATTCTGGAGGTGATGGAAAAGAAAGTTAAATATGTCTGTCAGAACCAAACTGATAGAGTCACTACTGTTTGGGGAAGGAAACCATCTATCCTAAAATGTTTGAAATCTACAGAGAAAAACAATCAAGAACACTAAGTGCTGCTTGTTGAAACTGTGGAATTTTCTAGAACCCAGATTTAAAATATTACTACTGAACACAGGTATATGAAAATATACTGGATAACAACCCTAAATTAATAATGGTCTATACCTCTTAAAGTTGAATCTAGAATTCGATATACATAGATATCAAAGAATTAAACATTCATTACTGAAAACCTTTGCTGTACATGTTGTAATAAAATGCTTTTTAAAATTTAACTATGAGATTGGCTACTAATACCAGTGACAGTACGATGTTCATGGCCATATCCCAGTGCCTAGAATCATGCCAGACACAAATTATGTGCTCTGTCAATCTTCGCTGAGTAGATCAAGTGAACTTAACCCACTTTTTACAGAAGGGAATCTGATCACTATTCGTCAGTCTATACACAAAAGTCTAGTATCAAAATCTAAAGAATGCTTTTTGGCGGGGGGTGGGGGAGGGAAGGAGAGCTGTGGAGGGGAGGGGGAGAATCTTAAGCAGGGTCCACACTCATCACAGAGCTCAACGAAAGGCTCAATCCCACAGCCTTGAGATCATGACCTGAGCTGAAATAAAGAGTCAGATGCTCAACTGACTGAGCCTCCCAGGGGCCCCTAACGGATATGTTTTTGCTGCTACCCCCATAATACATTTGGGTGAAATTTCAGAGAAAGGACTAACTCAGTACAATTTAACACATAATAATGAAGCATCTTTTATGTGCCAAATCCTGACTGCTCCCAGCACAGGCACGGCGATGCATGCTCTCAGACAGATGGGGCGGGGTACTCACAGAGGGTCACTTGCTAATCGTCACTTGCAGACATGGGAACTGGGGTCCCTGGTGACAGATTCACAAACCCAAGAAAAACAAGGCAGTCACGTGATGCCCCGCCATCACCGGAAGTTAGGCACGTTAAACACAGGGCCCCTTGTGTATTTATGGCTACCCCCCCCCCCGCCCAAAGCCTAGCCGTCCCACCTGCTCTCCACCATCCCCGATGACACACAGCTTTGCCTGCCACACCTGCTCGTCGTCGTCTCTCACTTTTACCGAGCTTTGTCCTAACCTATGTGTTGTTCTGATGTGCGTTTCTACGCATCCCCCACAACAGGACAGACCCAGTCACGACAACGGGTTCCCTGCCGGACCCTCCACCTCAACTCCCGTCACCTCCGTCAGGAACGACTTGGAGTATTTCATCCCACGTGGACTGCACGTGGGCAGCACAGGAAGCACTGTGACGGCGCAGGGGGAGGCCCAGATTTCAGCGAGGGCACAGGCTACCAGAGCACTGCGATTTCACAAAAGTGAGTGTCTCAACCAAGCGGTATTAATAACAATGACGATGACCATTACTGGAGTTTTCCAGCCCTGTGCTGACGGCCATTGGTGTGATGCTCACACACGGGTGATCCTGGAGTTGCTGGGTCTGGGTCTGCAACGCCATCCCTCCTCTTTGGTTTATGACCCCACCAAGTGCCCAGCCCGAGGCTGAGCGCGGGCAGTCGGCCGTTCCAGATTCTTTCTGATGCCCGTGAGGAATGAACGGCGTGCTCGGTGTCAACAGCAACAACAGTCTTCTAATCATGCCTCAAATAGTGCGGAAGTGAGACTGAAAAATGCCTTTTACCTGCTGACGCTTTTCGAACTCCAGCTTGATCCGGGACTTGATACAATTGCACGTGTCTTGGTAGGTCTGCTGCAGAGCGAGCTCCATGAGGTGCTTGTGGTACGCCCCCGCCAGGCTCCCACAGATGAAAATGATCACGTTGGCCAGGATCTAAGGAGACAGAAAGAGCCTCTCAGTAGGGCGAGTGTTCCTAAGTTACGAACACAACGGTAACAAAATGCACATTAGCAACGCAAGAGAGGACGCCGCAGGAAGTCAATTTCGTTTGTTTCCAAACTAACATTTTTACTTGCTTAAAGGAAACAGCCATTGCCTTCAGGGATTCTAGCCCCTTCCTGGATCCTTGCCCTTGGATGGATGGCTCTGAGGTCCCCCCCTTGTCTTTAAGCTCAGCTGTGTGATTTCAGTAGGAGTGACTGGGGGTCAGGTGGAGCCCAGGCTGAGATGGCCGGCAATGTGTCTTGTGCTTCATCAGAAAGAACATACCCTGGTGAACCCACGGGTTCCAGAAAGATGAAAGACTCACGGAGCAGAGGCAACCAGACAGCCCACAGTCTACTGTTCGGCGCCACTGAGACTTTGTGGTTGTTACACGGCATTACTTCAGTACTAGGTGATTGATCCATGGTGCTCTCCCATCCAAACTGTACTCACTGAGCCTGGATCAGTGATATTCCCTATGATCTTCTCTTGAGATAGGAATATAGCAGCTTCTCAAACCACAGTACTCTCTACTCTTCTGATGATAAAAATTCATGTCCATCAAAATTGGGGGAAGGGGAAGAAAACGAAAAAGAAAAACTAAAAAGAACGTGTGATAGTCCTACCCAGCAAGCACACCCCACTGTCCATATGGCCTTGTCCCCACCCCATGATCCTCTGCATTCTCAAAATTGTTCCCAGACTTGGTTCTGCCAAGACCTTTCTCTTGTTCCAAAGGACCAAATTCATTCTAAAGGCAGTGATTTACTTTTCTATTGCACATCCATTGTGCAGAAACAGGGTTTCAAATGCTTAGCTAACATTTAGTTCTACGACTACACAACAAATCAGTTATGTCCACGCTGTTGGACACTTAATTCAATATTCTTTGTATCTGCCTAGAGGCCACCCTCAAGTATAACAATTTGGCCTCATATTTCATCTTTCCCTTAGGTCGATTCATAAAATGCACTGAGTCAGAAGCCATGACTATTTTCTACGTTTTAAATACATATTATGAAATTGCTTTGAGGGAACATTCCACTTGTATTCTTTTTTTAAGTTTATTTATTTTGAGAGAGAGAGAGAGAGAGAGACAGACAGACAGACAGAGAATCCCAAGCAGGCTCTGCCCTGTCAGCACAGAGCCAAGTGCGGGGCTAGAGCCCATGAACTGTTGAGGTCACAGCCTAAGCTGAAATCAAGAGTCAGCTGCTCAACCGACTGAGCCACCCAGGCACCTCTGGGCTTATATTCTCACCAACAGTGTAGGACGCCGTCTTTCCAGTGTGTGCACTCCTATCTAGCACACTACGGACACAGAGCAAGGGGTAATGACATATAAAACGGATTAGTACTGATTTCTCTCTTACGTATTTAGGGAAAGACCGGCAGGTCTATCAGAAGATGGGCGGCCACACCCAGATAAGGTGCCGACACCCCCTCCTCCACACGGCCTCAAGTCCCCCCAGCACGGCGCTAACGGCCTTAACAACAAAGGCAGGGTATCAGCTTCCAAGTTTTGTTCTTCAAGAGCTTGTTGCCCCTACTGATCATCTGACTGAGGAGGCTGGAGAAGGATCCGGACACCAGGGGCTAAGTCTCCGCTCCTCCCAGGGGGCCTTCCCTCATCCCCTCTCTTCTCAGCCAAGGGAGCCCGTGGGCCCTGGAGCCCCTGTGCTGGGGGCAGGAGGAGGTGGGCAATTCAGGGGAGCGGAGCCAGGACCATGTGGCCCGGATCCGAGCCACACCGCCAAACAGTGGTAACATCAGCAAAGGTGATGTCCCGTTCTCCGTCCACCTGACGTCGTCCTCACTCTCCGCAGGTTCTGAACACGGGTGGGAGACGGGACTCCGTGAGCCCTGGGAAACCCCATTCTGGGGACGGAGGGACAGCAGGACAGAGCTGGAAATGGGAAGAATGACTTGATGAGCTTCTCTGTGAATACGGACGCCCCATGGAAGCAGGGGAAGGGCAGGTCAGACCAGAGGGCCTTCCAGCTGTCTGGCCTGCGTGTGTCGCGGTCCTGGAGGCCGAGAGCTCCTGCAGCTCGGCCAGCTCTCCCCGCGGCCCCGGAAATGTCACGTCACGCATCCCACGCACCCGCGTGTCCTCCTCCTCCAGCAGTAGGGGACATTAAAGCACCAACATTGGGCACTGCTGTGTGTGTGTGATATGTGCACATGTGGCATGTTTGTCATGTGCGTGCACGCAGTGTGTATACGTGTGCGTCATGTGCATGGTGTGTGTGACCTGCACGTGTGATGTATGCATGTGACACTTATGTGCCTATGCGAAGTCTCCGTGTGACTTGTGTGACATATCTGTGTGTGTGTGGCATAGGACATAAGCGATGCCTGTGACAGCTGTGTGCATGCTAGGCGTGCAATTCACACACATCACGTGTGGCTTTGCGTGATGTATGTATATCTCTGTGTGATATACAATGTGAACGTGGGACACACACATGGTCTGATCAGGGGGCATGTGTGCTGGTCATGTGTGTGTAAGTGTGAGCACTGGCCCAGAGCGGGGGAGCGTGTGGCTGTCTTCACTGCTGTTCCCAAGCCTTCCTAACTGCACGGGGCTGTCCGCCCTCCACGGCCACGCTTTTGCATGTCACCTCTGCGAGTGTCAATCACGTGAGCACGTGAGCCAGCTGGGGGGCTTCCTGACTCATCGGGGCGGAGGAGCCCCCTCCTCCTGCTGTCGGGATTGAGTTTAGTGTCCTGCCCAATGGCGACTGTTAATTCCGCCCCGTCGCGCTCTCCTCCTGCAAAACTACCGTCCACTTTGCTAAAGATTCTCCGAACTTGGTCACTGCTGGATTTGCTTTGAAGGATCGTGCACCAAAGAATGCAGACAAGGAGGGGAGCCAACGCAAACCAGACTGCTCAGATTTAGAGAATGCGGCCTCATTCCTTATGAGGCACAGCTGAAATAATAATTTAGTGATTACCTCGGAGAGATTCATCTTTTTCTCCTTAAAAAAAGGCCTTCAAAGCACAAGTGTCAACATGTTAGGAAGTCAGTTCCTCCAAAATGAGAACTGAATGTAAGCGACAGAGCCGGATGACGCTGTCACCTGTCCCCAGGGGCCCTGCCCTCTGCAGGATGCACAACTGGGGCCCTTCTCTGAGGACACTGATGCCACGCTGGGATGGCAAGTCCCACCTCCTCCTGTATTCTTCTGGGGATCCCAGTCCATGTCCTCTGAATTCTCCTGGCTCTGGAGCAGGAAGGAAGTGTGCTCTGGTCCGATGGCAGGGCTGCCCCTCCCTGTGGCCCTGCGATGGGGCAATCTATGGTCCCTGCCACCACCCCACCCCTTGGCTGAGGCTGTGCTCCCCTCAGGAGAAACATGGCCACCCTACTCAGGCCAGTCAGCCCCTAGATCTCAGCTCCCACTTGAGTCTGGGCTTCCCTTTTCCACAGCCAGCTACATGGCGGCCCATTTCCCAGTGGAACCAATGGCCGCAAATGTCACAACTCTTTGCTTGATGACCGTAGCCCCTTCTTCCCACACACAGGGACCACGAGGGCAACAGGCTGCCTCTGCCCATCTGGGGACCGCGGTCTCCTCCACTGTGATGCCTGTGCGTGCCAGCACTGCTTCCCTGAGCGACTGTCAGGGATTAAGAAGCTTCTCTAAAATTCTACAAGGGAGCCTGTCTGTCCCAGGGAGGAGGAGGCTCCCTAAAGACCAGTGTGGCTGCCCTCCAGCGCTGGTCTCTGCCCGACACAGTTCACAGAACCTAAGGAAAAGCCATTCATGCTGGATGTTGCGTTGCTTCAAATAACACGGAACTGGAAAACCTCCTGGGCTGTAGGTCGTTGGAAAGAATGCACTCACCAGTTTCTATTTCACTGGGCAAAGGGAAATGCTTAAGAAATAAATGAAGGGTTTTAATGCCAAGTAAAATATGATATTTTTCTGATGGAAAAAAATGAATTAAATTAAGTTTTCTGATACATGGTTTCACCCTGGAACACTGTACTCTTCAGATTAATAGAACCGGCCCTGGCGTTTTTATAATGACACGAATTTGCAAATGTGATTGATTCCCTAAAGCATTTTCCTTTCCAAACGGTACATTCATATAATGACTTCGTATAAACATAAGGCACCAAGGCAGTGCTTTGGTGAAAATTTTCTTTTCAAAAATAATATCCCAGCCTTTTCATTTTCCAGAAACCTGATAGGCAGAACACATGATAAACACACACACACACACACACACACACACACACAATCATTTTCACAACATTGGCTTTGTTTTCTAACAGCGAACCATCAGGATGCCTTCTTTTACCCTGTTCTGCATTTAGCTACTTGTACCTCTGTCAGAAAACAGGAGAGGGAACCTGGGTTCCCACGAGCTGTCTTGGAAGAAAACAAATTGTTTAGGGTGAAATCGGCAGTCACAAGTTTACCCGGAAGAGTCAAACCCGGCCTTGGCAGGGTGCATGGCCCACGAGATAGGGTCTGGGTAAGCCTTCTGTGTCACTCCCCACCCCACACCAGCATGTGATGGAAGGGGTCCATTCTGCAACGCCGCTCAGCGACTCCCAGAACCCAACAAGCCAAACACACCTTGCATCTTTTCATCCTTGTAAAAATCCAGAAAAATAAAACCACCAGGAGGATGGGCATGTGTTATTATTTCATTTTACAGGCAAAGAAACAATCTAAAAAATTCGAAGACTTGAGGGCAGGCCCTCAGGCAGGCCGAGGCTCTCTGGATGAACCCTGTGCAATCCCACACTGCCCCAGTTCATAGGGGTCAAGCAGGATCATCCAGCAGGGTTCCCCCCTCTAATAGCGTGTGGGGAAGGGGTTTCTGAGGGATTTCCGAAGAGAAGTGTGTTACACTGTATGAAGCTCCTGGGTTCTTCCTTTAGAGCATCTGTATCTCATGCTATAAAGCACTTCCATCGTTTAAGTTAT